ATTTAATCAAATATTAAAAACAACGAAAATGCATCGGTGGAACAAGAACGTAGTACTTGTTTTGAATAATGTAGGCGGAAATTTCACTTTTTCAATATGCTTTGTGATCATTCAGTTCTTTGTTTGTTCAAAGCTTATTTGAATAGTAATCGCGCATTCTCTGCCCAGTTGAATCAACCATGTCTGAAGAAACAATACTACTAGTGGTGTCCCACAGGGTAGCCTATTAGGCCCCCACATTACTGATTTTTAAACTTCACATGTTACACCGAAATTATTTGTGTATGATCTTAAGCCAGGGCTCCGATCGACAAAATGCCAATCAAACGTATCAAAATCTTGATTAAAAAGTATATAGGGAGAAAATTTGCAAATAAAAAGCACACTCAAAATTAAATTAGAAAATATTTAATCGTCCTCAAATCTTTTATATTTCTCTCCTAAATCAATCTTTTCTAATAATTTCTTGTTTCAACTGAGCATTTTGTGAATTTCAATGCATTTTTTGCGCCGCAGGCAAAAATTTTGAGAATTTGGAGGTCCTTAAGCCAGATTTCTTCCATTTTTCCCAAAATGTTGATTTAAAAGTAGATACTTTCAAAAAAGTACATCAATTTCGTAAGTATGGAGGTCGATTTAAAAGTAGAATACTTTTAAAAAAGTATGAATCGGAGCCCTGTCTTAAGCCTATTTCACTTTTGACTCTACACATCACAATTATCACTCTGCACTCCAACACTTTATTAATAAATTTCCAAACTATTGTAAAATTAACGGCCTTAAACTATCATTAATAAATTTGATGAGTAATTATTTCCAATGATTTAATGAAAAATAAAATGTGGAAAAAAATTTACAATGAATTTATGTAAAATTATTCATTCAGTTAAACTATTTTAAATTTAAATTGGCCTAAAACAAAATTGATTCTAAACTTAAATTTTTTAAATTTATAAAAATGTTTTTATCTTTAAAATTATTTTTTATCTTTCTTCTAATTAAGGTAATTTTTAATATTGTCGGGTTTTCCGGGCTAAAACACTGATACCTCGGAAACGCCAAAAACTCGGTTTTTTACAACTGGACCCGAACCCGGTTTCCGGGCTACTAGGCTCGAAAACTCCCGGAAAACCGGACCCGCTAGTTACTAGTAATTTGAGGACATCCTCCGATTGAGCATTAATTAAGACTCCTTTTAGAATATGTCTAAGCCTAAACCCCTTGTTTTTAGTTCAAAATTTACGAGATACATATATTTAAAGGGATATGAAGCATTATTATGTCACGAATCGACAAAGGGAAACTGTACCGCAAAGTCATATAATGGAAAGGGAGGTGAGCGTTATTCAAATATTACCTTTACTTCTATCATTATTTAGCGACATGTATTGTCCGTATTAAAGAGCATTATCTTAATGGTTTGAATTTAAAATTAAAATACCCAGGGGTATAAGTTTTTCCATAATTTGATTTAGTTTATGATACGGATTGCGTACGTTGTGATTCGACTGGGGGTAAAATTTTGAAAAAATTATAGCAATTTTTATTAAATTTTATATTAAGTATGCTATGGTTGTGACTATTATAAAGGTTTTGTTTTTGTAGAGAATGCGCCTTTATTAATCCTAATATGACTCTATTTCAGAGGATGAAAGTAAATGTAAAGAATGCAATAGGTAATTAGTCGCGATTAAAAATATTGAAAATTTTCTGGCATAAAAATTCATAAAAATCAGTTTTGTATTTGTAGTGACTTCTGCAACTCTAAGGAAATCTTCCCATACAAATATTGCTATGACAATACAAAAAACCGAAATGCTGATCTGTGTAAAGTTGAAAAGAATGGGTATTGTTACATTACGAGAGACGAATCGCAAGGTAGCTGTTACATCCAGAGGAGTCCGAGATTTGTCTGATGTTGACGTGCGATAGAATAGCAATTTATCCGGTGTAGATCAGTGACTAGCTGAGATCAGTGACTAGCCCCGATAGTATGATCCCACTATATTGACGCTTTCACTGGCTTTTATACTATAGCGATACAACTACACAACAGTAGCCATACAAATCGAGTGTTTGAGCTTGATTTGATATGTTAGATTCAAAAGATATTTTAAAACAAATAGTTGACACGCATTAATTATCCAATAAATTCAGTAACCGTTGGATGTGGAGAATGCCCAAAGGGAAAAGATTGCTTCCAATGTAATGAGACATATTGCAATAATGATGACTTTGTCTCAAAAATGTTTCATTTCTGTTTGACTTTGGATGAGCAGCCTGTTTTATGTCCTAAATTATATAACCATTGTTATTATGCACAAGGCGTAAGTAATAAATAAAATAATAAAGTAGTAGCCATGTATTAAGAATGTTAATGAATCTGGTTGCGGAAAATGCCAAGATTCAATGTCAGCTTGCTTCGACTGCAAAGCATCAAAATGCAATTCAAAACTAGAATTTGATCGTGCATTCAAATGTTATTATAGTAGCAATGCTTATTTGACAAGCAACAAAACAAGAGGGTGCACAACAACGGATGGAATGTCAAGGATTAGTAGTAAATGGGGTTACCAACTATTTGACTCAAAATGCTTTATAGCTGTAAATTTAAAAAGTAAATTCTTTTAAACGAAAATATCCCGAAGTACTTATCGTATGGATAAGTAGCATTCCAAATCACATTCTAGTCTAAATTAAATTCGGCCTAAAATTTACAATTGGTCTGGAAGTTTGTTAAATTTACGGCTCCATATAATATGCCAGTAGAGTATTATGAAATGCCACTAATAAAGCTCAATCCATATTATGCGAATAAGACTATAAATCTATATGCTAACAAAGGATACCAACAAAGGAGGGTTAATAATAATAATAATAAATAGGCAATATATGTATAATAATTAAAATATAATAATATTATTAATAATAATATTAATTATTAAATAATTAATAATAAATAAGCGTCTTATATCTCTTTCTTCATTTTATATTGAAAGATGCAACTGAAGCAGAAGCCTTACAAAAATATACAACCCAAGGGTGTGGAGGTTGCCCTAAAGGGATCGAATTATGCCGAACATGTACAGAAAGTTTGTGTAATTCGAAAGAATTTTATGACGAAATGCATTCTTGCTGGCAGTCAAAAGATAAAATAAAACATTGTTACAGAGATGAAACTGAAGGAATTTGTTATTATGCAATAAATTCTAGAAAAACGGGTATAATCATTCTAGCCATTTAAATTTAAAAATTATTCCTTAAATTAGTTAAACAAGGATGTGGAAGTAGATATGATTTGGAAAAGAGAGGCTATCAAGTTTTTAGGTGTAATACTTCTCTTTGCAATACAAAAGAATTTTTTGAAAAATCTTTTTATTGTTTGAAAAAAGATGAAAACGAGGAGGGCTACATAAGGGACAAAAATATTTGTCAAAGTAAATGCTTTGTACAACGTCTACCAGATGGAAAACGTATGGATTAAGTCACGTTATTTTATTCATGTGGGTTTATTTTGGATCACAACTCCAGGAAAATACCTAGAGTTCTAATACTTCTCTTAAACTTAAGTGCTGATCGTTATTGATAGTAAATTGGTATGATAAGATTATTCTAACATTATAGAGTGCCAGAAATCGTGGTTTCCGCTATCACTTCAATATAACATTATAAGTGATTATCATCACATTTTAATCTATTACCGATAATAATCCGCGTTTATACGTAATTAAATGATTAGCCGTATAAATGTTGATTGAACGTATAAAGGTGCGCTTGGACGCCTAAACTGGGCAAGAGCTCAAAAATAACTTTTATTTTATGTAAAGGAGCTTGCTAGAATATTTTATTCATATTTGTGTATAATTATTAGTGAATTAAAGCAGTTTGTTATTTAAGCTATCATGCTGGTATTCGGACACACCTCAAGTTGATACACAAAACTAGCGAAAATTAAATTATTTAAATAGTTTAATAATTACTAAAGCTTGGTCCAAAATAGAGCATTTGAAAAAAATGTGACACATCCTGTATCGTTTACATGTCTTGAATAAATTTTCGTTTTTATTTCTAGTTAAACAAGGATGTGGTAAATGTCCTGTCACAGATAAACAAAGCTGCCAAGAATGCAGCAAATCTTATTGTAACAAAGAAAGTTTAGTGTATCATTACTGCTATAAAACTGATAAAAAAGATGTTGGCAAACTACAATGCTTAACACCTTCCAATAGCACATGCTATACTGCTAGAATTAAGAAGAATAAAAGTAATTTTTTCTAGTATATATTATTCTCGAGAGGTATACGAAAAAAACAAAGTCGGAAGAAAAATTGTAAAGGTTACATATATTTTATTTCGAAATTTAAGTTGTACGAGGCTGTGGCGACTGTCCAAGCACATCATGTAAAAAATGTTTTGGTCAATATTGTAATGATGGAAAAAATTTTCCATATTTTTGCTTATATCCTCGTCTAAAACTTTTGAAAGAATGTGAGAAACCAGAATGTTACATTGCTAAAGTTGAGTTTAAATTTTTAATTTATTAATTTGGCATGATTTTACAACACAATTTTTGAATGGATAGGATAGATAAATTTTGGTTCCAGAGAATCATCGATACTTGAACACCTGTCATTTATTGCTAGGCGCGTAGCACACACACTAGGCTATCTGTGGCTGTTTCAAGTCCTCATTTAATATGTTAACCGCTGCGTATTAAGCCAGCCAGGGAGATTTCCCTTTTAAATTGCAATATCTAATGCATGTTCATCAATTTTACCCTAAATATGCAAAAAATCATAGCAATTTTTTCCAAAATTGCTATTGTTTGGATAATATTGCCAGGTATTTTGCTATTTTCAATACATATTTATCAAATTCTAATTATGATACTCCTACTTTCTAAAAATTTTTTGACAATGCTTATAAAAAAGTTATATTTTTTATTAGACCGAAAATTTGAAGCCACAAAATTGTTATAATAAAATACAATTTAAGGTGAAATGGTGTCCGTATATGGTTGTGGAGAATGTCCCAAAGGTGTTCACAAAATAGGTTATTTAGTAGATTACCGTGATGATAAAGACAACCTTGAACAACGCAAGATAGCAGACTTTAATAAAATGCAGTGTGCTCACTGCAATCATGGTCCTGCTTGCAATTCTTTTACATTTTTGGAAGAGCGATTGTTCTGCTTGGAGAAGGCTGCTAGAAAATGGACACCAGAAAAGGGAGTAAAATGGTGTGCGATTGGAGAATGCTTTGTTGGTGTTGATAGCAGTGAAATGGGTAATATTTAAAAATTTTTGAATAAAAATGTCGATATGTATCTAAATGATAAGCAGCAGGGGTGTGTCGAAACTGAGTTTAAAAAATGCCGGAAAGGCAAAACTCTGCTTTTAGTAACATAATATTCAGATTAAATTAACCGATTCCACGAAAACTCTCAGAATTTTTGTAACCTGGAAGCAATGCTCACTATTTATGAGAAAATCTATTTGGAATTTCTCATGATAATTTTTTCATAAATATATGTTTCATTATCTTGTTCAGACCAAATTTCCAAAAAAACTTCATAAGCTAGGATAGTGATTGTAAAACTCAAATACATACGATATACAATTAAGTTATTAAGAAAATTTAACAAATAACATTATTTAAGCAATAGTACAGGGCTGTGGTAGATGCTCTGATCAACCAAATTTGAACAAATGCGAAAATTGCAAGCAAAGATACTGTAACGACAAAAGAAGGCTTAAAACTATAAGATGCCACCATCTTAGTCCAAATTTACATCCATATTTGAAACGAGTGAAGACTTGCCATCCAGTCATATCAAGTTGTTACATTGCTAGAGATATATTTGGAAGGGGTGATAGTTTTATTTAAATTGTACTTGAGAAAAAAATGAGCAATGAACCTTACTCACAGGGTTACCTTCATGTCTTATCAGTAAAAGTATGTAAGATATCATAGCATTTGACAATTCGATTGAAAAACCTAGGCAACTAGTTAGAGATTGACTCAGATGTATTTTTTAGTCTATCCCTAAGTTGATGAATTATTCCAAAGCATTAACAACATTAACAGGCTGTTATGCTCTGGATTTGGAACTTATACGGATAACCCCATACAATTCATTCCAATTAATTTTAGTTAGTGAAAAGATACTAAGCACTAGATAAAGTAAAATTTCAAGGTAGAAAAAAGCAGCGTTAGGTTAGGCGACGTATAAAAAGTTCAATTTACATAACTCTTTTATACATCTTATGATTTTTTAAGTAAATTTAATTTAAGTTGAACAAAACTGTGGAGAATGCCCTCCAAAATACAAAAACTGTGTTACATGTAATAATAATAATTTGTGCAATATTAAAACATTGTTGCCTACAATGACGACAATTACTATTTGAACAAATAGGGAAAAATGGAAAAAAATATAAACTTATTTAAATTGTATAGAAAAATTGTCTCAATAAAATTTTTACAATAAAAAGATTAATAATTTATCCGAAATAATAAATTTTGTAATACATTATTTATAACTAATGAGCTATAATAGAATATATTTGTCTAAATAAAACTCGAACTGCAGAAGATATCAGAAATTATTTATAACTAATGAGCTATAATAGAATATATTTGTCTAAATAAATCTCGAACTGGCAGAAGATATCAGACATTATTTATAAATAAAGAGCTATAATAGAATATATTTGTCTAAATAAATCTCGAACTGGCAGAAGATATCAGACATTATTTATAAATAAAGAGCTATAATAGAATATATTTGTCTAAATAAATCTCGAACTGGCAGAAGATATCAGACATTATTTATAAATAAAGAGCTATAATAGAATATATTTGTCTAAATAAATCTCGAACTGGCAGAAGATATCAGACATTATTTATAAATAAAGAGCTATAATAGAATATATTTGTCTAAATAAATCTCGAACTGGCATAAGATATCAGAATTTTTTATAAATAAAGAGCTATAATAGAATATATTTGTCTAAATAAATCTCGAACTGGCAGAAGATATCAGACATTATTTATAAATAAAGAGCTATAATAGAATATATTTGTCTAAATAAATCTCGAACTGGCAGAAGATATCAGACATTATTTATAAATAAAGAGCTATAATAGAATATATTTGTCTAAATATATCTCGAACTGGCAGAAGATATCAGACATTATTTATAAATAAAGAGCTATAATAGAATATATTTGTCTAAATAAATCTCGAACTGGCATAAGATAACAGACATTATTTATAAATAAAGAGCTATAATAGAATATATTTGTCTAAATAAATCTCGAACTGGCATAAGATAACAGACATTATTTATAAATAAAGAGCTATAATAGAATATATTTGTCTAAATAAAACTTGAACTGACATAAGATAACAGACATTATTTATAAATAAAGAGCTATAATAGAATATATTTGTCTAAATAAATCTCGAACTGGCAGAAGATATCAGAATTTTTTATAAATAAAGAGCTATAATAGAATATATTTGTCTAAATAAATCTCGAACTGGCAGAAGATATCAGACATTATTTATAAATAAAGAGCTATAATAGAATATATTTGTCTAAATAAATCTCGAACTGGCAGAAGATATCAGACATTATTTATAAATAAAGAGCTATAATAGAATATATTTGTCTAAATAAATCTCGAACTGGCAGAAGATATCAGACATTATTTATAAATAAAGAGCTATAATAGAATATATTTGTCTAAATAAATCTCGAACTGGCAGAAGATATCAGACATTATTTATAAATAAAGAGCTATAATAGAATATATTTGTCTAAATAAATCTCGAACTGGCAGAAGATATCAGACATTATTTATAAATAAAGAGCTATAATAGAATATATTTGTCTAAATAAATCTCGAACTGGCAGAAGATATCAGACATTATTTATAAATAAAGAGCTATAATAGAATATATTTGTCTAAATAAATCTCGAACTGGCAGAAGATATCAGACATTATTTATAAATAAAGAGCTATAATAGAATATATTTGTCTAAATAAATCTCGAACTGGCAGAAGATATCAGACATTATTTATAAATAAAGAGCTATAATAGAATATATTTGTCTAAATAAATCTCGAACTGGCATAAGATAACAGACATTATTTATAAATAAAGAGCTATAATAGAATATATTTGTCTAAATAAATCTCGAACTGACATAAGATAACAGACATTATTTATAACTAATGAGCTATAATAGAATATATTTGTCTAAATAAAACTTGAACTGACATAAGATAACAGACATTATTTATAACTAATGAGCTATAATAGAATATATTTGTCTAAATAAATCTCGAAATAAAAAGATAACAGACATTATTTATAACTAATGAGCTATAATAGAATATATTTGTCTAAATAAAATTTGAACTGTCATAAGATAACAGACATTATTTATAACTAATGAGCTATAATAGAATATATTTGTCTAAATAAATCTCGAAATAAAAAGATAACAGACATTATTTATAACTAATGAGCTATAATAGAATATATTTGTCTAAATAAAATTTGAACTGTCATAAGATAACAGACATTATTTATAACTAATGAGCTATAATAGAATATATTTGTCTAAATAAATCTCGAAATAAAAAGATAACAGACATTATTTATAACTAATGAGCTATAATAGAATATATTTGTCTAAATAAATCTCGAAATAAAAAGATAACAGACATTATTTATAACTAATGAGCTATAATAGAATATATTTGTCTAAATAAATCTCGAAATAAAAAGATAACAGACATTATTTATAACTAATGAGCTATAATAGAATATATTTGTCTAAATAAAATTTGAACTGTCATAAGATAACAGACATTATTTATAACTAATGAGCTATAATAGAATATATTTGTCTAAATAAATCTCGAAATAAAAAGATAACAGACATTATTTATAACTAATGAGCTATAATAGAATATATTTGTCTAAATAAAATTTGAACTGTCATAAGATAACAGACATTATTTATAACTAATGAGCTATAATAGAATATATTTGTCTAAATAAAACTCGAACTGGCAGAAGATATTAGAAATTATTTATAACTAATGAGCTATAATAGAATATATTTGTCTAAATAAAACTTGAACTGACATAAGATAACAGACATTATTTATAACTAATAAGCTATAATAGAATATATTTGTCTAAATAAATCTCGAAATAAAAAGATATCAGACATTATTTATAACTAATGAGCTATAATAGAATATATTTGTCTAAATAAATCTCGAAATAAAAAGATAACAGACATTATTTATAACTAATGAGCTATAATAGAATATATTTGTCTAAATAAATCTCGAAATGAAAAGATATCAGACATTATTTATAACTAATGAGCTATAATAGAATATATTTGTCTATATAAATCTCGAAATAAAAAGATATTAGACATTATTTATAACTAATGAGCTATAATAGAATATATTTGTCTAAATAAAACTTGAACTGACATAAGATAACAGACATTATTTATAACTAATGAGCTATAATAGAATATATTTGTCTAAATAAATCTCGAAATAATAAGATATTAGACATTATTTATAACTAATGAGCTATAATAGAATATATTTGTCTAAATAAATCTCGAAATAAAAAGATAACAGACATTATTTATAACTAATGAGCTATAATAGAATATATTTGTCTAAATAAATCTCGAAATGAAAAGATATCAGACATTATTTATAACTAATGAGCTATAATAGAATATATTTGTCTATATAAATCTCGAAATAAAAAGATATTAGACATTATTTATAACTAATGAGCTATAATAGAATAAAAATAAAACTTGAACTGACATAAGATAACAGACATTATTTATAAATAATGAGCTATAATAGAATATATTTGTCTAAATAAATCTCGAAATAAAAAGATATCAGACATTATTTATAACTAATGAGCTATAATAGAATATATTTGTCTAAATAAATCTCGAAATAAAAAGATATTAGACATTATTTATAACTAATGAGCTATAATAGAATATATTTGTCTAAATAAATCTCGAAATAAAAAGATATTAGACATTATTTATAACTAATGAGCTATAATAGAATATATTTGTCTAAATAAATCTCGAAATGAAAAGATATCAGACATTATTTATAACTAATGAGCTATAATAGAATATATTTGTCTAAATAAATCTCGAAATGAAAAGATATCAGACATTATTTATAACTAATGAGCTATAATAGAATATATTTGTCTAAATAAATCTCGAACTGGTTGAAGATATCAGACATCATTTATAACTAATGAGCTATAAT